TTTTTTATGCTTTCTTGGTGCACCCCCTTGTGGTCTTTGTGGACAGTCGTGTTGTAGTTAAGCCTTGATTGTTGTGGGCAATACTGGGGGTAAATTGTCCTCCAGGCTAACTGGCTATGAGAGTCAGCTGTGTCTGCAGTGGGAGCGCTTCTGTGCTGGATCTCTAGGGCGGTGCTAATCTAGCCTTTGCCTGAGGCTATCCGGCAAATGCCCCTGTGCAGGGCTTGGGCGGGGCGGGCCCCAGGGGATCTACAGGGCAGGGCAGAGTGAGCAGTTATGGCTGCTCTCAGTTCCGTCCCCAGCGGCTCTGCAACCGCTGCAAACCTCGGTGAGAAAGCTGCCTTCCCGCTTCTCTCTTTTGAGTCTGGGTCCCTAGAGACTCGCCCGGATCTGGAGCTCAGAGTCTGAAACTCCCTCCCGATTGAAAACAACAACCGTGCCCTCCGCCGCCGGCCTGCTCCACATGCACTCCGCACCTTAGTATTTCACTTCAGCACTGCGCCTCCTCTGAGTCTGGGTATGGTTTCCTCTTTCCTCCTAGTTGTAGAACTTCCACTCAGCCAGCCTTCCTGTGGTTCTGGATGATGTCCGTTCCGTCTTTTAGTTGTATTTTTGAAGTGGTTGTTCAAGGCAGCAAACTCCGGCGTTAACCTATGCCACCATCTTGGTTCTCCCTACTCTTGTGGTTTCAACCATGTTATTATCTCCCTAATCTTTAATTCTCCCATATCTCCAGTGCCTAAAAGAAGGCAACATTCTTTTCTGAATTGGGATAGTATTTCCAGCTTCCAACTATACAGCTCCACTTATAGCTATAAAGTCATATTAAAACCCACATTTTGAAGACTAAAAACATTACATTTTTTTCTAAAACCAATTTTTCTTACTATATTCTAATCTCAGTTAATAACATCACCATTCACCAGACTCTTAAGGCAAAAATCTTTAAGGTTCCTTTCCTTTCAATTCACATGTACATTCAGTCACCAAGTCCTGTTAATTCTATTTCAGAAATAGGAAAGCTAGATTCAAAGACATTACCTCAACTCAGATTCTTATTCTTACTCAGAATACTGTAAGAACCACCTAAATGTTCACTGTGTCACCTCTCTCTACTCCATCCTACAAGCCACCAGAATTACTTCCTAAAAAAACAGCATTTTTACCTGCTTTCTTAAAGCCCTTTCATTTGATCTAAAAAGTTTCCATTTGATCTAATATAAAGTCCAAACTCCCTACCATGCCATAAAACACCCTCCAAAATCTAACTGAGACTTATGTCTCAAAATCCATCTATTTCTTCTTCCCTATACAATCTTCTCCAACCATATTGAAGTTCTCGCCATTTACTCCCTTCCTGTTTTCCTACACCCTCACTCCATTCTCTAACAACATCCTTTTAAGACTTAACTGAAACATGATAATTCTATGAAGTTCTTTTCTACTTTCTCAGGAAAAATTAGTTCCTTCTTCTTCATTGCTTCCTTGGCATTATTTCTATTCCTGTTATATGCTTATAATGAAGTGTTCAAATTTCCTTTGTGCATATCTGAATTCTACCAGACTCTGAGCTCCTCCAGGTATTCTTTGAATCTGAAATTCTCAACAAGTGGCTGGCATAGAGTAAACAATAAAAGTGTACTGAATAAGTGAATATGTAATCTAAAAGATAGGATCCACATCCCTTTATCTTATCAAATATCTAGGTTATCTTTTACACACACACACACACACACAGCGGTAATGAAGTAAAAACAATACAATGTAGTAGTTAAAAGTATGAGCCTTATTCATAAAAATTCCTGCACAATCTTTCATGTTGGCTAGGTGCAGAAGTTCTCTTGATTCCTTCTCAAGAATGACAAACAAATGCTTACATGGAAGGTTCTATCTGATCAGGATGACCAATACTGGACTTTATGTGAGTAAGAAATAAACTTTTATTGTGTTAAGCCACTAAGATTTGGGGGATTGTTGTTACACCAATTGCAATTCTTATACTAGCTAAAACTGCCTGATCAACTCAAGTAAAGCTCATACAGACAACTTCTAATCATGGATTCAGAGCTTCCAATTAGCTTTTGTATCCTAGCCTTAGATAAGAGCAGACAACCATGGATATTTGACATCTAACATAAAAACTAAGGACAAAATAGGGGGGAGGAGGGAAGCAACTCAGAGGAAACAAACCAAGTAGGGAGAAGAAAATTTTAAAATATATACCATTAATATCAGAGAGATAAGAAAGGTAATACAACTATGAAACAAGAAAAGAAAGGCATACTAGTAAACAGTAACATTCAGAGATCAAAAAGGTGCTCATGAAAATTAAAAATATAAGGAGAAATTTTAATACTCATGAGAAAGACTGAAAAATAAACTTGAGAAAAACATCCAGAAAATAGAATCAAAGGGTAAAAAGATAGAAAACAGAAGAGAAAGGATTAAAAAAGTAGGACAGAGCCGAGGAATGCTGAATAAAAGTTTCAAAAAGAGAACACAGAAAACTGATAAATTTTTCAAGCAAGGAGGACAAGAGTTTTCAGAATAAAAGGGCCCATCAAGTACCCAGCACAACTGATGAAAATTCACTGATAGCAAGGACCTGTGAAACTTTAGAAACTGCAAACAAGAGTTTACATGCATTCAGGACAGTAAAAACAGATCACATGCAAAGAATAAGTACTCAGAATTATTACCGGCTTTTTGATAGCAATACTGGAAACTAAAAGGTATGGAGCAATGCTATAAAACTGGGAATCAAAATGCAGGGTGATCAGATTTCCTACCACTGTTTCATAATCAAAGTCAAAAGAGATATATTTCAGTTAGTCACAATTCCTAGATTACATCAGTCTAAAGACACTAGTTACAAAAGGCTATATTATAAATACTTCTTAATGCATTAATGAAAAATAAATTTTAAAAATTCATTAACCCACTAATAAAACTTTCTCTTTTCCTATGTTCCTTTCCTGACCTTATCTATATATATAAAAGCCTAAGTGACCGGCCAACCGGCTGGTAGCTATGATGAGCAATGACCACCGGGGGCAAATGCTCTGAGTGGTAGCTATGATGCACACTGACCACCAGGGGGCAGACACTCAACGCAAAGATACTCAATGCAGGAGCTGCCGAGCTGTGGTGACTTGGCAGCAGCGGTTCTCGGTGACTCACCCAGAACCCGAGAGGAGGGAGGCCAATTTTGGGGGGCATCACCCGAGAACCGCCTTCTTGCAATCCGGGACCCCTCGGGGGATGAGAGCTGGTTTTAGCCCGATCCCCGCAGGCCAGGCCGAGGGACCCCACCAGTACACAAATCCATGCACTGGGCCTCTCGTGCAGCAGTCGCCAACTGGTGGTCCGTGGACCATTGGTGATCTGTGAGGTCTGAAAGGTTGGCAAACGCTGCTCTACGGCATGTCATAAAAGGCAATGTCAGAACCAAAACTTCCCTCTTAATCTAACAGTAAATAAGTCATTATCCTTATTCCTCCCTCCCATGTACACTCAGAGAAGAATTTTTTTAGAATATAAAGGATTACCAAGATGAAAAGAAACAGATCCTTTCTCAAAGCTTAACACAAGAAATAAAACATGAATATAATTGTTTTTTAAACTTTTATTTAATGTTCTATATATTGCCTTTATATACCAAAAAAGAAATAGATCTTTATTATCAAAATTAGAGGGCTATCCCTGACATATGAATAGTACAAATAGTGTCATAAGAACTAAAGGGGAACAAAGACTTTCAGCAGCAAGATTATCATCTTTAAAAGTGGCATACATTTAGGAAGGTCCATAAAGAATAGGTAGAATTCAGAAATACAAAGAATAGAGAGTAAAGTTGCATGACATTTGAGGCATAAAGAAAAATTTGAGCTAAAGATTAAAATCAGGAAAACAAAAATCACATGGGAAATAATTAGTTCTTTGTGCATTAAAAAGAATAGAAGTCTGAAGATTAAGCTTCAAAGCACTCCAATAATGAGGAATCAGGAAAAATCCACAAATGTGATTTTTTTGCCAGGCCTCTCCCAGGTAGGAAGTCTGGCTAGAGACTTGGTGTATGTGGGTAGGCCTCACTTCAGGTGATCAGGATGGGGCTATCCTTAAATCCCAAAAGTTGAAGCAAGGTTCCAAGACAATTCAATGGGGAAAAGAATAGTCTTTTCAACAAATGGTGCAGGGAAAACTGGATATGCAAAAGAATGAAGTTAGATCCCTACCTCATACTATACAAAAACTCAAAATGGATCATAGACCTAAATGTAAAAACTAAAACTAACAGTTATTAATCTTTATGACCTTGGATAAAACAAAGATTTCTTAGATATAACACCAAAAGCATGAGCAAAGAAAAAAAAAAGAGATAAAGTAGATGACATCAAAATTTAAAATCTTTGTGCTGCAAATGATATCAACAGGAGAATGAAAACAACCCACAGAATGGGAACAAAATATTTGCAAATCATATATCTGATAAGAGATTTGCATCCAGAATACATAAAGAACTCTTACAACTCAATGATAATAATAAAAACACAACTTAAAAATAGACAAAGGATTTGAATAGACTTTTCTTCAAAGAAGATATGCAAATAGCAATAATCACTTGAAAAGATGCTCAACATCACCTGCCATTACAAAAATACAAATCAAACTCACAATGACATGTTACTTGACATCCACCAGGACTGCTAGAATAAAAAAGACAGACAATAGCAAGAATTAATGAGAATATGGAGAAATTGAAACTCTCATACATAGCAGATGGTAATGTAAATGGTACAGTCACTTTGGAAAATAATCCAGCAGTTTTTTGAACAATTAAACACAGAGTTCCCATATGGCCTAGCAATTGCACTTCTAGATATATACCCAAGAGAAATAAAAACATATTTTCACACAAAAATTTCATATGCGTTCACATGAATGTCATAGCAGAATTATTCATAGTAGCCAAAAAGTAGAAACAACCCAAACATCCATCAACAAAATGTGGTATATCTATATAATGAAATATTTGGCCATAAAAAGAAATGAAGTATTGGTATATGCTACAACATGGATGCCTCCTGAAAGTATCATGCTAAGAAGCCAGTCACAAAAGACTACATATTTCATGATTCCATTTATATGAAATGTCTAGAATAGGCAAATCTATAGGCACAGAAAATAGATTAATGGTTGCCAACGGCTGTGGGGAGTGGGGGTTGCAGATTGACTGTTAATAGGTACTACGTTTTATTTATTTTTTATTTTTCATATACTTTTATTTATTTCAGAGAACAAGGGAGAGGCAGAGAGAGATAGAAACATCAATAATGAGAATCATTGACCGGCTGCCTCCTACACACCCCCTACTGGGGACTGAACCTGCAACCCAGACATGTGTCCTGAATGGGAATCCAACAGGGAACTCCTGGCTCACATAAGCTCAACCACTTAGCAACACCAGCGAGGCTAGGTTTTATTTGGATTGATGAAAATGTCCTAAACTTAAATTATGTGCACAATGGTGAATACAATAAAATTAGGTAATTCTTTAAAAAGAAAAAGCTGGGGCAAGTTTTATAGCTACACTCTTTCCTAAAAAGTCTCCCTATAGATATATTCTCAGAAATAATAGTGGAGGAATTTGCATTTTGTAATAAGAAGGAAGTTCATTCCTAAATAAGACTCAGATAATTTAAACATTGGAGTATTTGAGAATAAAAATAAAAGAGGCAATTCAGTCTGAGGAAATACAAAGAATAGCTGGGAACAATCTCTGGAATGTTCTACAGTTCCTTTAGCTACATACTCTTCCAAATTTTCAATTGGGGAAGATGAAAAAGTTCTGGAGATAGATGATGGTGATATTGTACACAATGTGAATGTACTTATTGTCACAGGACTGTACACTTAAAATGGTAAATTGTTATATACATTTTACCTCTGCAAAAAATTATTTGAAACAATCACACTAAGATACATTAATGACAAGAAATAGCAAGACATATATATGGTGGGATGAACTAACAATTTTTCTCACTTAGGTACCACACAGGAATCAAAATGATCAATGGTTCTGGCAGACTGGTAAAGAGCCCTTTCTTCCTGGGCAACAAAGAGAACAATGACTGACAGCTACTGATTCCTGTAATTACACCAGATTTCAACCAAGGCAGGAAAGATGGAAATGCTTCTTAGTAATAATAGAACTGGTCTAGTGGGCTTCACATAACCTCTGCATGCCTCTAATTAAGAATGTGAGATGTCTAGGAAAAATGAATTATTTTCCTCTTGACTTGTGTTATTTACAAGTGTCTTAGAAAATGGAACCAGCTTGATCATTGGACTCAGTACAGAGGATGCAGAGAATTGGAGCACTCACTTTTACCTTTATTCATACCTTTCCAGAGCCTAAGATAACTAGGTGGAAAAGAAAATAACTGAGCAGAGACAGCATCACTGCCTCTCCTGCAGAGGCCAGAGGCATTATTCAATTGTGCAAAATACAAGTAAAATTCAAGAAGAAATATCTTTTCTTGTAGAGTGTTGGGGATAATGTCATCAGACTGAAAGGTCTGAAGAAGGGGCTGCATGATTTGGCATGCAGGCCCAATCTGGCCTTGTCTTTCTCTCGGACCTCATCTCTTACCACTCTTCCCTGTAATCACTCAGCTTGCCTTCTTGCTATTTCTCAACACACCAAATTTGCTCCGATTTGAGGGATCCTGCACCTTTTCATGCCCCATACATTTTCTTCTCAGGTATTCTCATACACTCCTTTACCTCATTCAGTTCTCTTTTCAAATGTCAGGTTCACAAAGTTTTCCCTGATATCTAATACTAGAGGCCCGGTGCACGAGATTCATGCACTCAGGGTGGGGGGTCCCTCAGCCTGGCCTGCGCCCTCTCGCAGTCCGGGAGCCTTTGGGGGATGAACGACTGATGGCTTAGGCCTGCTCCCCACAGTCAGCAGTCGGACATCCTTAGCGCTGCCTTAGCACTGCTGCTACAGCCGCTGCACTCCCCAGTCGTTAGCCCAGCTTCTGGCTGAGCAGTGCTCCCCCTGTGGGAGCGCACTGACCCCAGCCTCTCCCCCATCATGCTTTATCCCATTACACTGTTTCATTTTTCTTCTTTCATAGACTAATCACAATCTTACATAATTTGTTTACTGTCTGTCTTCTATCACTAGAATGTAAACTCACAAGACAGGGATAACATCTATTTTACTTAGCACAATATTACCAGTGCTTAAAACAGGGCCATACAAACACAAATATTTGTTGAAAAAATATGAAAAGAGAAAAGGGAGTGTAATGCTCAGGTCAGGTAATATGCAACAAGGCCACTTCTCTTCTTAAGAGACTGTCTGTAAGTGCCTCCTTGGGAGTCTTAAGAACTTAATACTCTATTAAATAGAATGATGTCTTTTATTCTTCCTGCAGTCGAAGGATTTGGTAAGGGGAAGGCTGAAAGGGCAGAATGGGCAAGGAATGTGAGTTTTATATAACAATTAGAGGCCCTGTGCACGAAATTCGTGCATGGGTGGGTCCTTAGGCCTGGCCGGCAATCAAAGCTGATCGGGGCCTTCCGGCTGCCATCCAGAGCCTTCCTGCCTGCTGCCGGCTGCCAACCAGGGCCTTCCTGCTGGCTACCGGCCTGGGCCTTCCTGCCAGCTGCTGGCCGGGGCCTGCTGGCAGGGGGGAGGGACCATGGGAGGTTGGCCAGCCACAGGGAGGGACCAGAGGAGGTTGGTCAGCTGCGGGAGGTTGGCTGTGGGAGCGCATTGACCACCAAGAGGCAGCTCCTGCATTGAGCGTCTGCCCCCTGGTGGTCAGTGCACATCATAGCAACTGGTCGTTCCAGTCATTTCAGTCACTTACGCTTTTATATATATAGATATGCTTGAAAGGGACTGGTTCCTCTTTGGTCTACAACTCAGAATCACCTTGGCTTATTGGCAGCAGATAAGAATTCCATAACCTACAAGTACAAAGACGACTACAAGTGCTTACTTTCCAACAAAAATTAGCAAATACTTCCCTTCAGGATCAGAAAAGGGTAGGGCCCTAATACACTCAGTTTACATATATGAGTTCAATTTTGTAAAAAAGAAAGATATACACAGATAAAAAACATAAGCAAATTATTAAAGTGCTATTAACATATATTAAAGTATTATTTAAAGTTATTTTTTTTTAAAATATTTTTACTGA